GCTTTGGAGCCTGTCCTGGAACTAGCTCTTGTAGACCAGGCTGGCCTCAAACTCACAGAGATCCACCTGCCTCTGCCTCCCGAGTGCTGGGATTAAAGGTGTGCGCCACCACAGCCTGGCTCAGATTGTTGATCTATAACACAGGCTGGTTTCAAACGTGAATGTTCATTCTGCCTTAGGCACCTCAGGACTCAGCTTCCAAGCTTACAAACCCATGCTTGCCCACAGTTGTTATTTTCTTTCTTTCTTTCTTTCTTTTCTTTTTATTTTGTGTTTTTTGTTTTGTTTTTGAGACAGGGCCTCTCTCTCTACATAGCAATGGCGCTGGCTGTTCTGAAACTTACCATGTAGACCAGGCTGGCCTTGAACTCACTGAGGTCTGTCAGCCTCTGCCTCCCAGGTACTGGTAGTAAAGAGTGGAGCCACTATGCCTGCCAGAGTTATTTTTCTTGTAACATTCTAACAAGTTACTTGACCCATCTGTATGGCCGCTTGTTTGTTTTTTCAGTGCCCAGGGCAACCGGGAGGTGAAATCCAGGGCTTTGTGTATATTTACTACCACTGAACAGCTCACCTGACCCCTCTATCACCTTAGACTAGAGTTCAAGGACGAAACAGTGCCTGGTGACCCAGTGTCACCCACAAGAACAGTATGCATGCGATGAAGAGGATTGGGTTTAGGAGGCTATCAGAGTGGGCAATGTTTGCTGTCTGATACATGTCCAGGAGGGGACAGCCAGGCTGAGACCTCTAGGAGACCTATTGATTCCAGACCCGGAGAACATTTGCACTATAGCCTGGGAGGCCTCGACTTGTATGTCAGATAAAGCCATGGAAGCAACGGTAGTTTGAGGAATGGGAGGTCCTGGGTGGAACTCTAGAAGGTGGCCAAGTGCTAACTCTCAAACACACTCCTGAGGCTGAAGCTTCATCTCTGTGGTCTATGGGCTTGAGAAAACCACAGGCTGAGTGCTGTCTACAGAGGGAACAGAGGCCATTAACAGAGCCAAGGTTATCCTTGGCTCCTGGGGACGAAGTAGGTAGAGAGAGGGAACTAAGGTCTGCCTCAGTGCCAACACAGCAAGCATGGCAGAGAGAACCCATAACACAGAGAAGAGGGTCAATCCAGCACAGTCTGCCCCTTCCTCCACGGAGACATCTCAAGTAGGGTATGAACAGGTGGAATCCCTTGGATGCTGGGACAGCCCTTCTTTCCTTTCTCCCCGTTCTCCTCTTCTGCCTTTCCTTGTAATTGCTGGGAATGCTGGGACTTGAACTCAGGGCCTTGGGCATGTGAGGAAAGTATTTTAACACCAAGTCCCAGTGCCTAGCTGGTGATCTTAGTTATAGCACAGACCCTGCAGCTAGGGGTGTAGTTCACAGGCAGAGGGCTTACTGCACATGCACGAAGTCCTGGGTTCAGTCCCTAGCAATGCGCAGTCCTGGGATGGTGGCACAATTCTGTAACCCCAACACACCACTCTAACCACCCTCCATTACACAGTAAGCTCCAGGCCTGCACAAGACCCTACCTCAAAAACCAAACACCTGCCGGAGGACGGGCGAAAGTCCCCTCCAGGTCTGTCTGCTGTACAGGTTCTCAGCAAGAAACTCCAACAACAAAACCAACACATGAAGGGCAGACCCTAGAGCCGTGTCTGGCTTCAAATCCTAACAAGGGCACTTACTAGCCACGTGACCTTAGGCACACCAACTCTAGTTTCCTGTTCTGGAAAAGAAAGACAGCAACAGCACCCCCATGTCACAGAAGTGTCATGTGGCTTCCAATGCTTTTTCCCCTACATTTTCTTGTAGCCCAGGCAGACCTCAGACTCATTACGTAGCTTAGGATGATCTTGAACTTCTGATTCTCCTAGCTCCACCTCCTGAGTGCTGGGATTACAAGTGAGTACCACTGTCCTGGTTTATGTGGTGCTAAGTGTAAAACCCAGGGCTTCATGCTTGTCTCACGTGCTCTATACACAGCCTTTGCTTTTCATATAACTTCTATTGGCCTCAAAGTTGGTAAGTAACTGAGGCTGGCCTTGAACCCCTCATCCTCCTGCTTCTACCTCTCAAGTGCTGGGATTACGGGTATGTGTTACCATGCCCTGCTCAATGAATTAATATTATAAAATGTTTATATTGGTGCCTCATGCATATATTAAATGTGTTACACAAATATTAAATGCAAAAGAAAGGGTTTCATTCATTAACAACCAGTAGTATGTGCCAGGTACCATGGTGGGTACTGGAGACCCAGCAGTGTATAGGGCAGGTGGAAATTCCTGTCCTCAGAGACTTTATATTCTAGTGCTAAGCAAAATATAGGGCCTGAGAGACAGAAGAAATGTACAGGATTGACAAGACTGCTAGCCTAGCACCTGGTGCACAGTGGGACTCAGGAAATGGCAAGGGTAGGAAGAGTGGAATCTCTGGCAGAGGCATTGGGCTACTGAAATCCCCAGAGAAATAGTCCCCATCATCATCATCCAGAATGGCAAACACACAACGTCAGCCCATAGCAGGTTTCTTATTCAGTTCTGATCAAACACTAGGAGTTTAATGCTACTGTTCTCTCTCTCTTTTCAGATGGGCACTAAAGCAGAGAGGTTAAATGAATGAGCAGGGAGCCCAGCCCAGGTCACCTGGTTCCAGGACAGGACAGGTTGCTAAGCCTGAGGACCATTAGAGCTTGAGTTTCAGACAGACAGATGGAATATATAGCCCACTAATACCTACATATCCAAAACCCACTATAGAAACCCAGACTCAAGGCTAGGAAGGGTCTAGGAGGAACAGCATTCAGCAGTGGGGAGCTCCACCAATTGCCTGTTTGCTCCAAACATCACTCCACTTGGGGGCTGTCAGCATCATGAGACCTTGACAGTAGGAAAATAATGAGGTCCCAGCCTCCTGGAACCTTAATACCTGTGATCACACCCAGAGACCACAAATGAAATAATAATATTATAACCCTGAGATACTCGAAATAGAAGCCCCAAATACTCGACACTGCAGCTGGAGACCAAGAGGCTGGGAAATGGGCAGAGATGACCGAAGGGCACAGAGAGAGACAGAACTTACAAACGCAAGTGGCAAAGCCTTAGCAGTCTACAAGACCCTACCATATCTTTCCTCACCTTAACCGTTCTCGATGCCATCCAGTTCTTGCCTTAGCAGGGAAGAAACTGTAAAACCTAGATGTCAAAGGGGGAAATTGAATCTGACAGAACAGGGCTAGAAGACAGGTATCCAAGAGTCACCTCGGCCCCACCCCTTTACTAACCAGAGAATCCGAGGGAGGGGACGAGTAGGAGGCAAGTAGTGGTTAGGTAGAGAGGTGGCAGCCAATACGCAAGGATACCCTTGCAGAATTCATTTTTATCTTTTTTTTTGTGGGGCGGGGCTCCAGGGGCATGGGAAGACTGAAGACTTACATTTGGGGGCTGTCAACATCATGAGACCCTGAAGTCAGACCCCCAGCAGTCAGTTTTCTCCACATCATCTTCAGGGGACCACACCAGGCGGAGCTGGGCCTCCTGAGAAACCCAACGTTGCATTCCCTCTGCGGGGTGGTCGGGGCCATATTGTCCTTGCTCTCTCATTTCCAGCTCCAGGCAAGCCACATTAAGTATCAAAGCTCAGGACCCATGCATGGGATCAGAGCGCACTTGCCAGTTTCCAGTCTTGATGAGACCCCATCGTATGCAGTCACTTGTAGTACAGAGATGGAAGATCAAGGCCCAGAGACATAATATGACTCTCCAAAAGTCCATAGCAACTCGGGCTCAGAAATCTAGGCTTCTTGACCAGAACGTACTAGAGGGGGACACACTGTTGCTTCCTGTGTTGAACCTCCTCTCAAGAAATATAATTCTTATTTTTAGCTGTGCTGACACCTGCTGAGGGACTTTGGGGGGGCTTCTAGACAACGGAAGCCCCACAAGTGCATCGGGTTTTAGTCTGTTGGTCCCTGATGTGTCACTGGCTCCTAAAACAGTATTTGTTCCATAGTGTGTACCCAATAAATATGTCACGTGAACGTATGTCCAGAGAGACAAAACTGGGAAAATGGCACAGTGAGCGAAGCCTAAAGATCAGGAAGCCACGGGCTTTAATTTCAGATACATGAAGGGCTCGTACTCGGATCAAGTCTTCTGTGAGGGTCTATTATATGCCAAGAGCCGAATCTGGTGCTGGGGAGTCGTGAAAGAAGAGCAAGTCATGCTCGATCTTCAGTTGTAAGGCAGGCAGGGCTGCGGAGGTAACAATCCATTTCTCTCGGTCCTAGCTGCTCTGACGGTGGTGAGCTCAGCGGGACTGCAGTGATCATGCAGGGCGTAGGCCGCCCACCTGTCAGAGGCTGTGCCAGGAGGACGCAGGGTGTGTGTGTGTGGGAGCTCCACCTTGGCAGAGGTCACTTCCCACCCCCAGATTCTCTGCCTACAAAACCCTGCAATCTTCTGACGCGGTAGACTCGGATCTCATTATTTTCTGACTCTCAAGGTCCCATGATACTGACAGCCCCTAAATGTAAATCAGCGGTTTGCCCACGCCCTAGAACCCAAGATGAAAACAAAAAGTGAATTCTACAAGGGTATCCTCGGTAGGTGGCGGGGAGTGGGAAGTGTATCCCTCCCCACCTCCAAAAAGCTTTAGGGGTACAGCTCAGGCACAGGGGTGTCGGGGACGTCGCGAGACTGAAGTCCGAGACGTCGCTGACAGCGCCGGAACACGTGACTAGCTGTCGGGAGCGCAGCCCGCGGAGCTGGGCCTGGTCTGTCACGTGATGAGGGGGCGCCATGGGGTGATGTGAGATACGAGGCTCTCAGACTGCGTGCAAATGACGCATTCCCAACCCTTTGGGCAACTAGATTTCAGTTCTAATATGAGATGTTCCGGTGAAGGGGGGGGGGGGTGCGGGCTCTCGATCCAGGCAGCCTGGCTTCCGTTCGGCTGCGACTGTTTCCGACCTCCGCCTTTCCCTCTAGCGAGGAAGAGACAGGACTTCGTGCGCATGCTCGGAATCATCCGCCGAGGGGCGGGGCCGCAACTGCGGGAGCAGGATGGGGGGAAGAGAAGGGAATTCCAACTTGTAGAACTTTGGGGGTCCTATGGTCGGGTTCCTCCCGGCGGCTGTGGATGGTGAAAGGGGTGGGGCCTTTAGAGGCTCGTGGGGGTGTTGGGGTTCGCAGGGTGAGGAAGGGGGTGTCAAGTGTGAGAGAGAGGTGCAGGAGTTCCAAACTTAGAACCTTGAGGCCCTCGGGGCTCAGGTCCGGGGACGGGGCGCTCCGGCCGCCATGCGTGACAGGACCCATGAGCTGAGGCAGGTGAGAAACTGGGGCCGGGAGGGCGGTGCTGGAATTAGAAGCTGGGGCCGGGCGGGCGCGCCTGGATTGAGGACTCCTGGTTTGGGGTCCGGGAGGGGTGGCTGATGGCCAGGAAGGAAAATCCCGGAAGCCCATGGTTCCTGCGGGACGAGAACCGCAGCAGGCAAGCAGTGCCAATGACTCCGGCCCTGGCAGGGGGACAACAGCTCGGACGATGAAGATGAGGTTCGAGTCGCGCTGGTGGTGCACCCAGGTACCGCCCGGCTGGGCAGCCCGGACGACGAGTTCTTCCAGAAGGTAAGGGTCCGGGGGACCGAGGAGTAGGGAGGATTACAGTACCACTTATGTCTTCAGTTCCCTTGGTTCCTCCCTAGGTCCAGACAATTCGGCAAACTATGGCCAAATTGGAGAGTAAAGTCCGGGAGTTGGAGAAACAGCAGGTCACCATTCTGGCCACGCCCCTTCCCGAGGAGAGTAAGCGAAATCCGGGCTCACGCACGTCAGCCCGGTGGATTATGGGGGATGTAGTTCTATATTAGATGCTAGCCAGGGTGGGTTTGGTTGTGGTTTGTGGTAGAGGCTGTGGTTTGGAAGTGTGACCTTCTCTCGTTTAGGCATGAAGCAGGGCCTCCAGAACCTGCGCGAGGAGATCAAACAGCTGGGGAGAGAGGTCCGGGCACAGCTAAAAGGTGAATGAATTTCAAGGGCCTCGGCCAGGTCATTCCCTGTGATTCAGCCCTGTTGCTGGGGCATTGTTGCCTACACAGTCAAGTGATATATCCAGGTCACACAGCAGGCCTGGGTCTAGACCCAGGATCTCTGCCCTGTGGCATCCAGGCCATGATAGTTTTCATTGCACGTGCTGGTCTCTCAGATTCCTTTATTATTATTTTAAATTTAAATTCAAAGCTCCTTACTGTTTTAGTTCTTGGTCCAGTGTGTATTCTTTGAGCAGACAGGTGAGGGATTTCTTAGGAGACCGCTTCACACTTGTGGGAACCCACTGGTGTAATACAAAGAGAAACTTCTCTTAGAAGTTCAGAATTAGCCTCCTCCTCCCCCACCTCTCCCTTCTATGTAATCCAGGCAGGCCTCGAATTCACAGAGATCCATCTGTCTCTGCCTCTTGAGTGCTGGGACTAAATTAAAGGCCTGCCCCAACCATGCCAGCTGACTGACTGATCTCACTTCCTTCTTTCTTCCTCCTCCTCCTAGTTCCTTCTTTTTTTCTTCCCTCCTCCTCGCTCTTCCTCTGCCATCATTATGTGTCACTACTAATATACGTCCCTGCTCATAAGTCACTTTGTAATAAAAATTCTGTGAAGACAAGAACCTCCTTATTATGTAGCTGAAAGTTGGATGTGGCCCTATGTTCTGGTCCCCAAACAATTTTTTTAAATTTTTGTATTATATATTTTAAACCTTTTATTGTTTTTTGGGAGACACAATATGTAGATCATGCTAGCCCAGACAGAAATCAGCTGGCTTCCCAAACAAGTTTTAGAAGTCTCAGGGCAAAACCTGCTTTCTAGCAACCCTTGTGTTTCTCCCACAGCCATAGAGCCCCCAAAGGAAGAAGCTGATGAGAATTATAACTCAGTCAACACAAGAATGAAAAAAACCCAGGTAGGTTTCGCTTTCCTGGAGCTAGGGCATTCCAGCAGGTGTTTCTTAGGTTTCAGAGTGGTAACCGCGTCGCACTTAGATCTCTGTCTGTCCTGATGATCTTCTATATGCAGAAGCTTATGCTTAACAAAGAGAAGGAACTTGGTATATAGGTAAAGGATCCCGGTCTCCAATGCTCAGTCCATTATAGCACCCTGCCTCCTCCCTTCGAAGAGAATGTGCTGTGTCAGACGTGACGTAGGCCTGGCTATGGGAGATACACTTTCCCAAAACCGAATGGGGAATTTGGACTGAATAGGGAACAAAGATATTTCTCATGTAGAACTTGGTCCCTAATTGCTCTCTTCAGGGAAGAGACAAACAAAAACTGGCAAGCAGGGCTGGAGAGATAGCTTAGTGGTTAAGAGTACTGACTGCTCTTCCAGAGGACCTGGTTCAATTCCCAGTACCCACATGGCAGCTAACAACCATCTGTAACTCCAGATCTAGGGGATCTGACACCTCACACAAATATACATGTAGGCAAAACACCCATGCTCATAAATTTAAAAAAAGTAATAATAATTAAAAGAGCCAGGTATGGTGGCAGAGGCAGGCAGATCTCTGTAAGTTTGAGGCTAGCGTGGTCTTCAGAGCCAGTTCCAGGATAGCCAGTACTGTTGCACAGAGAAACCCTATCTTGGAAAACCAAAAAATAAATAAAAAGAAGAAAAAATGACAAGCAAGGACATCCTTGACTCCATAGATAAAATTCAGAAGATGAAGAGGGGCTGGCAAAGTGGATCAGTGAGTAAAGGTGTCTGCTTCTAAGCCGTACAACCTCATTCAGTCACTGATCCACATGGCAGAAGGGGAACTGACTCCTGCAAGTTGTCCTCTGACTTCTACATACGTGCCATGGCACACATGCCCTCCTCTGTGCACACACACTAAAGGGCTATATTAACGAATAATGTAGGGACTGTACCACTTTTGCAGGGGAACTCAGTTCAGCTATTGCTGGTCCCTGACACAGCACCCAAGTCAGGTAGCTCCCAACCATCTGTCAGCTCTAGGGCAAGGCCTCTGAGACCTCTTCAGGAGCCGGCACTACCCACAGATGAATGCACATAATTAAAAATATGAAAATATATATTTCAAAAAACACTTTTAAGAGGAAGGAGTTGTGGGGCAGCGGTGAAGTGGAAGTCCTATCAGGCAGTGTCTTAGTGAGGAGATTTGACGCGACCTGACAGGGCCCCTCTGGGTACAGAGTGAAGAGCGGTTGGGATTTGTGGAGGTCAAGACTGGAGTAGGAGGGAGGTTTGCACATCTTGAAAGGACGCAGAAGTGGGAGTTCAGAAGTGCTTGTGAAGGAATCAGGGGAGAAGCAGGACCCATAAGAGGGCACCTGTGGTGGTTATTGGTGTGAGAGGGTCCTGTTGCCCACGGTAGTAGCATGGTGCCCTTGAGTTGGTGAGGGTACCTGCCTCCGAAACAGCGGCAGTGGCATTCAGTCAGCCTTCAACAATGCACACCGAGTGACTGTGTGCCAGACTTTTAAACTAAAAATTCTACCCTTGAGACATTTACATTCTAGTGGGGCACACCAGTCACTAAATCAGTGTTTTATTTTTTACTATTTGAGTCAAGGTCTCACTAAATAGATCTCACTGGACTGGAACTCACTATGTTGATAAGGCTGTGCTCAGACCTGCAGGTCTCCTCGATTCTGCCTTCCCGGTGCTGGAATTAAAGGTGTAGCCACCCCACCTGGCTTAAATTATTTTATAATCTAATAAGTACTAGGGGTTAAAACAGCAGAAAAGGAGGGAAAGTGCTGGCAGGGGAAGGAGTGTCATTTAAATGAGGGGAAGAGTAGATCTGAGTGGTGGACTTTGTACTTAGCCTGGGAGGCCCTGGTTTCACTAGCCGATATACAGAAAGTATCTGTTTCTTCTGTGTATGTGTGCGGATACATATGCCCGCCACGGCGCCCATGTTGAGGTCAGCTTTCCCCTTGCTGTGGTGGGGTATGTCTGTGTCTGCTGCTGCGCTAGGAGTCTCTTGCCTCTGCCTCCCGTCTCACTTTAGACATGCTGGGATCACAGCAGCATGCATGCCACCACATCTGGCTCTTTACCTAGGTTCTGGGATCCTTGACGATGGGTTGTCATGCTTGCACAGCCAGCATTTTTACACTCTCAGCCATCTCCCTAGTCCCTCCCACCTCCAAATAAATTTAAAAAATAACTAAGGGCTGGAGGTGTCAATCGGTTCTTAGAGTGCTTGCCCAGCATGCACAGGGCCCTAGGTTAGATTCCCACCACCGCATAACGCAGCTCCCTGTTGGCACACACTGTGATGAGAGGAGGCCAGCCTGGGCTACATGGGACCCTGTCTCAAACTAAATAAAAATAAGATCAAAATTAAGCACTCAAAAAGAGCTAGGCGGTGGTGGCGCACGTCTTTAATCCCAGCACTCCAGAGGCAGAGGCAGGCAGATCTTTGAGAGTTTGAGGCCAGCCTGGTCTGCAAGAGCTAGTTCCAGGACAGGGTCCAAAGCTACAGAGAAACCCTGTCTCAAAAAAAAAGAACTCAAAAAGAAGTGAATCTAGTCAAGTAATCATAGCACTTCGAAGGTAGAGACAGGATCAAGGAGTCACCCTCAGTGAGCTTAAGACCATCCTGAGCTATGTACAGCTAGGACTCAAAACCAGCTAACCAATAAAAAATAAGTAAGGCCCGAGAGATGTCCCAGCAGTTAAAAGTGCCAGCTGTCCTTCCAGAGGACCTTGATTCTCAGCACCCACGTGGTGGCTCACAGTCTTCTGTAACTCCAGTCTCCGGGGTTTGACATGCAGGCAAAATACCCATACACATAAAATAATAATAATACAAATTTAAAAAATAAAATAAAGGATTGAAGACTTAAAGGTGCTTTGGGGATGAGCATTCTAGGCAGAAGGAACAGTGTGCAGAGGCTGATGTGAGCATGTTTTGTTGAGGAAGAAGCTACTGGAGAGGAAGGAAAGAGAGGGAAGTAGTGAGGAGGGGTGGGAGGAAGCAAAGTCATGGGCATAATGGGGGCCCTGACAAGACCTTTGGCTTTTGTTCGAGGAGTGAGGGAGCCTGCCAAGGTCCCGAGGTGGTTGTGGCGTCGGCACGTCCAGGTAGTTCCTGCTGATGCCCAGCCAGACTTTCTGTTCTTAGCACGGGGTCCTGTCGCAGCAGTTTGTCGAGCTCATCAACAAGTGCAATTCAATGCAGTCGGAGTACCGCGAGAAGAACGTGGAGCGCATCCGCAGGCAGCTGAGGATCAGTGAGTTCTGGCCCCCTCGCCCAGCATGCTTGGGAGCGCTCAACTGGCTTTTGGCTCTGACCTGACCTTTCCTGTTACAGCCAATGCTGGGATGGTGTCTGACGAGGAGCTGGAGCAGATGCTGGACAGCGGGCAGAGTGAAGTGTTCGTGTCCAATGTGAGTGACCACAGCCAGTGTCCCTCTGGGGCCTTCTGTCTTTGAGACCTGGTTTCTTTGTGTGGAGGGCAGACCAAGGCCCAGACAGGAATGGCCTGGAATGCTGGGGTCATAGCTTAGAGGGCAGTTCCAGAAGCTCAGCAGAAGCTTTGGACCAGCTGCTGTAACATCCCTGTAACATCTTCACCAATTCCTGTCTGCCCTCCAGATACTGAAGGACACACAGGTGACACGCCAGGCCCTGAATGAGATCTCGGCACGACACAGTGAGATCCAGCAGCTGGAGCGCAGCATCCGGGAGCTTCATGAGATCTTCACTTTTCTAGCGACCGAGGTGGAGATGCAGGTGGGTACCCAGGGAAGCCCTGTGCTGCCTGAAGCCCTCGCTGTGACCTGGAGTTAAGTTCCACCCTAAGACACTTACCTGGGCTTTTATGTTCTTCCAAGATGGGGCATGCTCCCACGTGCCCCCCCCCATCCTTAGCCGAACTCTCCCCACTTCCACAGTCACCTCAGTGTCACTCCTTGATCCATAGGGTCCCACCTGTGCCTCCAGCCTGCATGTCACCTGGGCATGGCCTTGATCATGGCTTCTCTTGCTGTGACAACCCCCCCCCCCGCCTTAATGCTGTTAGAGCTGTGGAGAGCTGTTCCTACAGGGCCAGCCTCTCAGTCTCTAGAAGGTTGGAGTGGTGCCCATAGGCCTGGCTGTAGGGGTCCAGGTGAGCTTCCAGCCTTGTCCCAACCTGATCTGAACTCCACGGTGCTGCAGCCAGTCTCTTTTGCAGCTGGCAGTCATGGGACAGGGCTGTGATCCAGTGGGAATACCAGGAGGAGGCAGGGAGAGGGATGGAGACAGGCCTAGAGTGGGTGAATTCAGACAGAAGTTTACTGTCTGTGAGAAAGGTGCTACCATGCAAGGCACCGACTGCAGGCCTCCGCTACAGATGGAGGGTATATGGGACACAGGGGCAGAGAGAAGGGACAACATGACAGTGCTGGAGCCTTGAAGCAGTGCTTGCTCTGAACATTTCTCAGCTGTTGTCCTGCCAGATCTTTGTTAGTTTTTTTCTGCCAAGAATGTCTTGACTAGCCAGGCAGTGGTGACAGAGGCAGGCATTTCTCTGTGAGTTCAAGGCCAGCCTGGTTTACAGATCAAGTTCCAGGACAGCCAGGGATACATGGAGAAATCCTGTCTTGAAAAACAAAACAAAGGTCTGGAGGATGGATCAGTGGTTAAGAGCATTGCCTGCTCTTCCAAAGGTCCTGAGTTCAATTCCCGGCAACCACGTGGTGGCTCACAACCATCTGTAAAGAGGTCTGGTGCCCTCTTCTGGCCTGCAGACATGCACACAGACAGAATATTGTATAATAATAAATAAGTAAATATTTTTTAAAAAAAAGAAAAGAAAAACAAAAACAACAATGACTATCTTGATCATTTTAGGCTGGGCTGGGCAGGGTAACTGTTCCCTGCGTCCATGCCTGGTTATCTGTCCTCTCTGAACTGTCCCTTTCCTGAGCAGGGGGAGATGATCAACCGGATTGAGAAGAACATCCTGAGCTCAGCAGACTATGTGGAACGTGGGCAAGAGCATGTCAAGATGGCCCTAGAGAACCAGAAGAAGGCGAGGAAGGTAAGCCTCGTCTCTTGCCCCAGCCGTGGGCTCTCCAGAGCGACTTTCCATGACCCTCCCTCTCTCACAGAAAAAAGTCATGATTGCCATCTGTGTTTCTGTCACTGTGCTCATCTTGGCGGTCATCATTGGCATCACCATAACCATTGGATAATGCCACATGTTCTTGGTGAGATATGGTGGACACGCCCCATCCCTGGCACTGGCCTTCCTGTCTCCTGTCAGACCCATTTCTCTCTCCTTCCCTTGCAGGCACTGGGAGAAGCAGAGACCCAGCGTCTGTGGAGGCAGGGCAGGCCTCCAGCCGAACCCACTCTCACGCTGGCCCTGTGCAGAGGGCATATGGCTCTTGTGGGGCTGGCAGCTGCTCATTCCTGGAGTCCTCCCCTTCACGCCACAAGGCCTGGGAGAGAGTTTGCAATGTCCTGTTTGTCTGGGACACATGGTTTTGTAAAAAATTAAAAAAAAAAAAAGAAAGAAAGAAAGAAAAAAATAACCTTGGCACACTCGTGCCTGTGTGTTCCTGAAAAGGCTGGCCCAGACCGCCAAGCATCCATTCTCCATTCTCCCTGGCCAACACTGCTGCCAGCCCCAGTCTAGACAGGCTCAGACCAGACTTCTGTAGAAGTGCAACCACAGCAGGCTGGCTCTTAAGGGGGTTGTGGAGGGCCATGGAGAGCTCACACTCACTGGGATCCATGTCCCTGAAACTATCAGCTGCCTAGCCCAGTGCTGGGCCACGGGCGGGCGAGGTGGGTGTGTGAGAGGTACCAGTGGCATGCCTGAGGCCAAGAGGAAGAGACATCTGAGAAACACGTGACCAGACAGGAAGAGTAGTTCTCAGTGGGGCATTCATGTGGAATGCTACGGTTGTAAGAAGTTGCCAGGGAGAGAAGCCAGCGGGACAGGTCCTGTGACCTGAGATGGGCACTGCCTTTTATATATAAGAGGGGTGTTTAGGGCTGGAGAGATGGCTCAGTGGTTAAGAGCATTGCCTGCTCTTCCAAAGGTCCTGAGTTCAATTCCCGGCAACCACATGGTGGCTCACAACCATCTGTAATGACATCTGATGTCCTCTTCTGGCCTGCAGACATACACACAGACAGAATATTATAAACATAATAATAAATAAATATTTAAAAAAAAAAAGAGGGGTGTTTAGGGACCCATCCCCCACAGTGGCCGCTGCCTGGCTTATGGGTACTGTCCAATGGAAGTAGGCAAAGGAGCCTGGAACCTGGTTTTTACAAGACACGCGAGCTGCCTGCAGGTCCTGATTCGGTATCGGGGCCAGCCTAGACCACATAGCACATTCCAGTCATCCAGGGCTGCTTAGAAGGACTGTGTCTCAGGAATGAAAAAGAAATGGTGTGTAACCTGGTATGGTGACTTTAATCCCAGAATTCAGGAGGCTGAGGTGGGTGGATCTCTGAGTCTGAGCCCAGCCTGGTCTACATAGAAAGCTCCAAGACTACATAGAGAAACCCTGTCCGCCCCCACCCCCAATTGTGTGTGTGTGTGTGTGTGTGTGTGTGTGTGCGTGTGTGTGTGTGTTCAGGCATGCAGGTCAGAGGTTAACTTTTAAGGCTAGCTTCTCCTCGTCCTTTGTGGGTTCCAAGGTCAGACTCAAGTTGCCAGATTTGTGTGGCAAGTGCTCTTACCTGCTGAACCATCTTGCTGGTCCCTGATTCCGAATTCTCAAGAGCTTCTCCTCCAGGTGCCTAGTTTCCAGAGAAGGATGTAGCTTTTCATGAGGACACATGCATGGTTCAGGAGGAAGCTGCTCCTGACCCAGGCTTGGTTAGATTCTGTGGTCCTTGGCTTTGATCTCTAGGGCTTTCCAGTCACCCTGTCCCATCCTGCTTTCACAAGACCCCACTGCTCAGCCAGCACTGCCTGTAATTGTGCTGAGTCCTGACAGAGCCAGAGGAGACAGCCTCGTACACTTCCTGACCATCTGGGAAGGGACAGAATGGGAGACTGGCCAAGTGGCCCCTGCCCATCGTCATTTGGCTGGTAGCCAGCCAACAGCTGGAGTATTGGTCCTAGATTGCATGCTTCTTGCTGTCTGTATATGGGACTTGCTTTGATCTCAACTGGAAAACAGTGAGTTAGAGGGCCTAGGTTTCCATAGCGAGCATCAGGATTGCTTGGTGTCCAGGGAGCAGCCTCTCCCCTCAGCATAAAGTGGCTCATTTTAGGAAGTTTATACGTGCTGGGCATCACACGGACTCCCTGAAAGTAGTAGAATCACTGAGTGTAAGAGACAGGCGCATGCCTTTAATCCCAGTACTTGAGAGGCAGAAGCAGACGGATCTCTGTGAGTTCGAGGCCAGCCTGGTCTATAGGCTCACTCCTGACCCATTTGCTATCTTTGTCCAATTTCTTATGATCAGATCCTCAGAGCTCACATGAAGCATACGTGGTGTGCACATGTGCCATCCCAGTGGGGAGATGGGAGTTGGACACAGGAGTCCCCAAGAGCCTGAAAGCCAGCTAGCCTGGTAAACAAGAGACAAGGTGGAAGGTGGTTGTCCTCTGACCTCTGCCTGCACCCACACGGATATGAACATGCGCACACATATACATACACCATAACACAAACTATTAATTCGTCTTTGCAACAAAGCCATATCAAGTGTACAGTCCATGCCTTTTGTTTGCTTTGATTTTTTTTGTTTGTTTGTTTTTTCAAGACAGGGTTTCTCTGTGTAGCCTTGGCTGTCCTGGAACTCTCTCTGTAGACCAAGTTGGCCTCCAACTCAGAGTTTCTGGTCTCTGCCTCCTGAGTGCTGGAATTAAAGGTATGCACCACCACTGCCTGGCCAGTGCACGCCTTTTGTAAAAAAGCCTTCATAGTGATTCCCAAAAAATCTCTTTAGTTAGTCAAGGTGATTCGGGGAAAAGAAAGATGAACAGCTAAGTCGGCTCTCCCAAGATGTCAGTAGACACAGGCTACCTACAGCCACATCTAGAGAAGAAGCATTTTGATAAGGGGTTATAAGTGTCACTCTTGTCCCAGGGAACTGATGAGAATCTAATAAGTTCTTCCATTGACCAGGACATGGGGCGCAAACCTTTAATCCCAGCACTTGGGAGGCAGAGGCAGATGGATCTCTTGAGTTCAAGGCCAGCCTGGTCTACAGAAGAAAGTTCCAGAACAACTGGAACTACGCAGAGAAACTGTGTCTCGAAAAGACAAAATGAAACATTTTCTGGGTATGCGTCATGCAAATCTCAGCACTCGGGAATCTGAGGCAGAGGATGGCTATGAGTTCACAGGACTTCCAGACTAACCCTTAGAAGTCTAAGTTAGGGGCTCAGTGGTTAAGAGCATTGGCTGCTCTTCCAGAGGTCCTAAGTTCAATTTCCAGCAACCACATGGTGGCTCACAACTGTCTATAATGAGATCTGGTGCCCTCTTCTGGCATGCAGACATACATGCAGGCAGAACACTGACTACATCAAAAATAAATTAGTCTTTAAAAAAAAAGTAAGTCATAGTTGGCATGAAGTTGTCCAATGAAGTCAAAAGATCCAGGGTGGGGTTTTTGTTTGTTTTGGTTTTTAAGTGCTGTCCCTTCCCTAGGATACTGCCCTCATCTAGTGACTCAAGATGGCCCTCTGCCACTTCCACGGCCACACCCTTGGATCAGTTTGCCCTTCCCCTAAATTGCAGTTCAAGTTTTATAGGTGATTTTTGCTCTAATGTTTTTAGAATATAAATCACATCACCAGAACCAGGTACAAATGTCGCTGAGAAAGAATGTTTGTATTGCCCAGTAAGTTCTATACTGCTGGGCAGTATTAAAGTAGTAAAGGTGGCGCACACCTTTAATCTCAGTGCTCAGAAGGCAGAGGCAGGCTGATCTCTGCGTTCAAGGCCAGCCTGGCCTACAGAGTGAGCTCCAGGACAGCCAGGGCTACACAGAGAAATCCTGTGTCAAAAAAAGAAAAGAAGAAAAGAAAAAAGTTCTATTACTCTGGTTTTGATTTGGCTTTTTGAAACAGGGTCTCCCTTTGTTGCCCAGGGTTGCTTTGAAGTCTTGGCAATCCTTATACCTCAGCCTCTCAATAGGCCTTGGATTGGGGTTGTAATTGTTTTGAGACTGGATCTATACCAGGCGGGCCTTGATCTCCCAGTGCTCCTATATTAGCCTCCCAAGTGCTGAGATTTCCAGAAAGTATTACCATGCCCAGCTTAGGTGCTTATTTTTTTTGTTCTATTGCTCTGAACTGAGGGGAAAGTTAATATTTGCAAACCAGTGGGCATTGCATTACAGTCAGCACAAATATTAGCCTCTCTAGGTTATACTCATCTCTGTGCGTGTGCACAGGATCCCCTGAAATGAGTCACTGTGAGTCACCATGTGGGTGCTCGGGTCCAAACCTGGGTCTCCTGCAAGTGTTCTTAACCGTGAGCCGTCTTTCTAGCCTTACTCACTAAGTAGCCCAGGCTGACCTCACACTTGTCGGTTCTTGTGGCTTAGCCTCCTTGGTGCTGGGATTGCACACCTACACTTTCTATTACTCATTATCAAATTCTCACACTTAGAGGCTACATTTATTATTTCACAATTCTGGAGGTGAGAAGTCCAAAGCTTGTCACTCAGCAAAGGCAGAGTGTGCAGAACTGCTTCCTGCTGGTGGCTCAGGGCAGAATCTGTTCCTCTTTTGGGTCTAATTGTTGCCTGCACCCCTTGGCTGGGGACCCATCTTCCATTCAAAAGCACATCTGATGTGGGAGTGTCATATATCAATCTGTTGATTTCATTGGTTAAGTAATAAACAAACTGCTTGGGCTCATAGCTTAGAACATAGGTGGGTGGAATAAACAGAACAGAATGCTGGGAGGAAGAGGAAGTGAGCTCAGAGGATGAGACCCTGTTCATTTCTTCTTTTCCGATATGGTATGATGGACCACGCCCTCCTGAAGGGTTGCTGTGAACATCTTCAGAAAATTGCTTCGCTCAACTGCCAACTGAGATGAAACTAGCACACAGGCTACACCATGAAAGACCTAATTAACGACGCCCCCATTCAGCAGGAAGCAGTTTGGAGAGAAAAAACTGCGCCCATGTTCCCAAATATGGTTTATAAACGTTCTTTAACATTTAAAGGGGGATATGATATAGGTATGAATAATTTGCATTAGTATAGATTTTGCTTTATTGATAGAGATTTAAGGTCAATTTTGTTATATGTATATGTATTTCTTGATCTTGATTAAGGTATTGTGATTGTGTAGTTCATTTAAAAATGTGATGTATAATTAGAAATATAGATTGTTAATAGATAATCATAATAGTCAAGTTTGTAGTCATGTTAGTTAAGATTTTCTAGGTGTGCATAGATATATTTTAGATAGGCATTCTTCGTATTTTCAAAGATTATAGAATATGGCTTTTTAAATGTTTTAATAACTTAGGACTTTTCATGACAATGAGACATGTCTGCTCCTGGTGGCACCAATCTACTTCAAGAGGAAGATGG